TGTCTGAGATGTGCCTTTTACTGGGAATTCCTGGAACTCTCAGCAGATCAAACGAAATCTCATTTACCACAATTCCACTTTAATTTGACCTCTACCATACTCAAAAACGCCTACAATGCGAAGGTCCATCCCATCTGTTTCAGTCCGGAATGCTTGCCGCATTGCCACATGCCGTTATGGGCATCGTCGTTCTGTTCGGCGGACAACTTGCTGATTATCTGCGCTCAAACAAGATTCTGTCCACGACCGCTGTACGGAAAATTTTCAATTGTGGAGGTTAGTCAGAATCAAACAAGCTCGTTTACAAGTTGCAGTGAGTAGAAAAATGTAGGAACTCTCGAGAAATACTATGGGGCTGCCTATGAAAACTTTCTTGAAATTACTTTGAAGGCAATTTGGGACGACAAGTCCTAAGGCGTGTAAGATTAATAACCCTAGCATGAAAGAACAAGGCGCCTCTGAGGTGCTGCAAAGCGCCATTCCCATGGGAGGTACTGACACGATGGTTACCACGAGTACTGACACGGGAAACTCGTCCGAAATTGCTTCCTGAACCGTGTAGAACAAAAGTTTTCTGCAGGTTTTTACCGTTTCACTTCGCTTTTTCGCTATTTTCCCACTATTTAGCCCCCCTCCCCTGGTACCATTTTAGACCCAGTACCAAATTATCGTGCATTATGCCTTTAATGTGTAGTTATTTTTATGGTAATCACTTCCCATAGCATAGCCTATTCTCCTACTGATCTCCTCTAGCCACATCTGACAGGACAGTCCGCATGGGCACACCATTACTTTGAGGAATTCGTAACTTAGCTCGCTTTCCTTCTCACCCTCTGGAAAGGGCTCTGCTTGATGTGCATGGGGGTGTAGGAATGAATATCGAATTCATTTTCGCCCTCTGTCTCCTCCATGCAGATGACGAGCTATTCCCCTGCGAACATATAGAGCGGTATGCAGGCAGTGAGGTCGGTGCACGAGGCCTAATGACAGCCTCATGATCGTGACGTGTACTGATTCCGACATCCGATTCTATGCGAGTTTTTCGTGCTCGCTCTGGTCAGAATTTGCCGCTGCGTTCCTTGGACGATCTTGTATTTGGTCTCGATTTCCTGGACAACCTGTTTTCGGCCACATATGACGCCTTGTGGTAACAGCTGAGTTTAGGATTCGGTGGTGAAGCGGCGTTCATGCTTGTCGTTGCCTATACCAAAAAAGAGTCGACGGCTGTTCTGGCGTTGGTGCTGGCTGTTGGTTGCTCAGGATTCGCTATCTCAGGTTAGTTATCGAGCTCATAAGGACAGAGAATCCTTATTCTTATATGCATCGACCTAATTCAGGATTCAATGTGAACCATCTGGACATCGCACCTCGTTACGCTGCTATCCTTATGGGTTTCTCAAATGGGATTGGAACGCTAGCCGGTCTCACGTGCCCAATCGTCACCGAGAAATTCACCGAAAGTGGACCTCATGGATGGGTGAAGGTATATTTTGCGTTTTGAGGCACCGGAAAAAAATTGCAACGATTCAAAATAAATCAAAAACTTCGAACAAGTGTATAGATTGAGCCGTCCAAGATTGTTATAATTTATTGGCCAACGTTTCGGCTACTTCGCCTTCGTCAGGGCCTGAAAGAGTCCAAGAACAATTGAGATCTGTCCCCTCAAACGCCTTAACAAAACTTAAGACTATTTCGAGATCCTAGTAAACCACCTAACGGTATCGATCGATAAGGTTAGGCTTACCTTGATCTCAGCCGCGACGACGTGAGACCGACCACCCAAGCTGTAGTACTGATTAGTGAGCTGCTACCTCCACCCCGCGACCTCGACCTCATGTAGATCAAAAACCGCATGTAGGTCGGCAAAGGGCGCGAGCTCACGGGTAATGGCTACTTCGGCGGCTCCTCTTTCTGCTCATTAGGGGTGTTTCGCCGAAAGAAGTTCTCGGAGGTGATCAATTCGTTCCCGGAAAAGATCGCGATCTCGGATCCAATTCTTATTCGATTAGGATGCCATGCAATGAACTGCAAGTGCCACTCATTGTACACCTTATTTAGCGCAAGAATGCTGTGTTGTGGATAACAGACTTGACCTCAGGCTGAGCTTGAACCCGCATCTAAGGCTTTAAGGATGAGTGTGTGATCTGTTGCACTGAACTCAGACGGTAGAAGCCGTTGTTGCGTAACGCATAGCACACTCGCT